AAACTATGAAGACAGTGAAATGATCAGTGTTTGCCAGGATTTGGGGGAGTGAGGGACAGAAAGGGATAAGCAAGAAAGGCACAGAAAATTTTTAGGGAAGGAAAAGTACTCTGTATGATACAGTGATGGTGAATACATGTCATTGTACATTTGCCCAAATCCATAGAATGTGCAACATCAAAAATGAGCCAAAATGTAAACTGTGGACTCTCGATGATTATGATGTGTTGATATAGATTTAACAATTGTAGCCAATGTACCATTTTGGTGAGAGATGTTGATAACGAAGAGGCTATCCATGTGTGGAAGCAAAAACTACCTGGGGAATCTCTGAAACTTCCTTTCAATTTTACTGTGAACCTAAAACTGCTCATAAAAAGTAAGGCTTTTTTAAAAATGAAAGTAAAAGAGAGGCAATTGCAGATTTTTTAAAAAAGGACTGAAACCAGTTTGTTAAGAAGTGACCTTGGTATCTCTTCCCAGTTGCATCACCTTCCTTCCCTACCAAAAGTAATCACTATCCTAAACCTTATATTAAGCATTCCCTTGTTTTGCTGTACGGTTTCATCATAGATGCATAGATACATGATAGATGATTAGATATATAGATAGATAGATAGATAGATAGATAGATAGATAGATAGTCTAAACTATGCTGTTTTGGTTTTGTGTGTTGTTGCACTTCATATAAAATGGAACACTGTATACATTGTATATCTTTCCAACTTGCCTTTTGGATTAATATTATGTTTGTGAGATCCTTTCATGTTGCTTTAAACAGATGAAGTTCCCCTTTATAAAGCTTATTCATTCTACTGTTTGTCAATCTGTTGTTGAGAGATATGTGGATTGTTTATAGTTTTCTTTCTGCTACAAACAGTGCTCCTAAAATCATGTTTGAATTATGTCTCCAGGTACATATAACAAGAATATCTCTGGCTGAGGAAGTATAACTAAGATTAGAACTACTGGACTCCGTGCTAGTCACATTCTTTAGGTAATAGCAGAGTATTTCCAAAGTGATTGAACCGATTTTCACTCTCACCAGCATTAAATGAGTGTTCCTGTTGGTCCATACCTCCAACCATTGTTATTGTTTAGATCTAATTTACATAGATCATTTTCAACCAGGAAAATGTCAACTGAACATCAGAGAATCATTTTTTTTTATTTTTAAAGGCATTATTATCTAGAATCAGATAAGCATATTCTGAGGACCTACTGTGTTTTGTACCTACGTTATTCTATTTAATCCTCACAGCACCATCAGGAAGATATTTTAATTGCACACGTACAGCTGAGGAAACTGAGCTGCAGAGAAATGACTAATTAACTGGTTTCCACAGTTGTTAATAGCCAAGTACTCACCCAAAGATTCTGGCTACTCATCTTTCTGTGATACCCCTCTACTTTTCAAAACTGAAAATCTGTGGAGCTATAGCTGTGTCACAAACCAAGTTCATGTACCAACTTCCTAAAAAGAAAGAGAGAGAGAGAAAGAAAAAGAAAATTCTAAGGACCAAATTAGAGTGGAAAACTGCCACTCATTTTAGATATACATGATGTACTATTGACAAAGAAGAAATCCATTTTTAATGCTTCAGCATATCATTAGGGAGGCAAGCTGACTGAGTGAACTGAGCTGGCATTTATCGCTGAACCCAGATAAAGAGCCACTGAGTGTGGTATTCTACGACCTTCTTCCTGACAGCCACTGACAATGTATCCAATTACTTAAGCAGTCTTTATAGCATCATTTAAGCAGGTCTAGCTTTCCTTGTTCCACTTCAGTACAGGGAAGGAAATAGTTGGACACTTCAATAGTAGCATCTGAGATGAAGGAATCTCCTTTTTTTAAATTCCATGATCTCTGGGTGTATCTACACCTTGACAATCCATTTTTTAGCATATGATTATGAAAATAAGATGGGCATTAATAATCCAGTTTAATATATTGTCATAAAAATAATAAATGACGGCTTCTTCATACTTCTTGCCCCTTAAGATTTCAAGGCAAGCAATAAAAATACGACAGCTTATAGGAGATAACACCTAGCCTCTGAAAGGCTATCTCTATCCCACCAGATACTAGTTAAAGAAAGATGCAATTTTGGAGATAACGTAAAGCGTTGACAGTATAAGGCAGAATTTACTGTGATGCTTGATAGATCCCATAGGTACCCACCCGACAACTGACAGCTCTCTGTGAACAGATTTCATCCAGTCCCTGCCCATCACAAGGCATGTACAAAGGCTGGGTTCAGAGCCTGCATCCACTAACTCTGTTGTCCTCAAAAGACCAACGCCAGGTAACATGACCAGAGGACTGCCTTTGCCAAGACAAAGATTGCCAAAAGATGCTTCAAGGGAACATTTTATTGGGCAGACGCTACTTTGCTGTTGAGACCATCCTACTCAAAGCATACGCCAACATAATTCTCTCTGAATACCATGATATTATAGAGATGACTTTTGTCTTCAGTGAAAATAAAAAGAGCTGACCACAAAATCCTATATACAAAAAAGGTCTGTTGTCCATCATTTCCTCTCACAAAAATCTATTGGTTAGCACTTCTATAAAATGACCGTTGATATTCTCACTGATGGCACTAAGTTTCTGTGTTTCTGAAACATTTAAGACTTGGTAATAGAGTTGGTTGCTATATGCATTATTTGGGTTACTTGGTTTTTTTTATACTGTTGAGCCTTAGTGTAACTAACAGGAGAAACAGCTAAATAATTAAAAGTAGTTGCTTTGGGGGAACGGTACCTGGAGCAGGAAGTGGTCAGGGAAGGGGTGTCAAAAGGGGTGGGGAAGGTAGAAAACAGAGTAGCTGGTTTTCATTATGAGCCTTTCAATCTCATTTGGTTATTAACCGTTTTGCATATATTTCTTTTATTTAACATTTATTAAAAGTTAGAGATGCCTCCAAACTTTACGGCTTATGCAACATCTTATCTCCTCAGTTGCCTCATGGAGTAGACTTACATGCCCTTTCTTCTTTATTTAATAGCTGCTTATTTGACTTGGGCACATCATTTAAACATTCCAAGTATTAACTCATCTATGATAGTAGGGCTAATTTTACTGCCCTCTTGATAACACGAGATTTTATATATCAACCTAAGTGATATGGAACAATTTAAACATCTATGGGCAATGGATCCTTTTATAGCTACAGTAATTGTCATTGTTTTCATGCCTATTCATAATTTGTTGTAAAGGCAGGCTTGAAGCACAGCTGTTTTGTCATCGTGTGTAGAAATCCACTGAAAATAATGTAAGGTTGTTTGTGGTTTTATTGACCTCATCTCAAACTTTGATCCTGTACTATCATTGATCACACCATGACATTTATTATACCCTGAATTTAAAAAGCAATCATTATATTTTACCTATACACAAGAATAATGACTTTATTATTACATATTTTAATAATCATTTTTATATATAATTTGTGGGGTTTGTAATTACTTAACATTGTGATAATGATATCATAATAATTTTATTAGCAATTTGAAATTTGGAAACAAGATAGAAATTGATGGCTGAATTATATACTTAAGCTTTATTGATCATACTTTCCTTCTCTTTAATTTTAACCAGACTGTGTTATTGAACTTGAACATCTTCATATGCTTTCCTATATCTAATTGCATGATTTCTGCTTTGTCTTTGATTTTGAAATGCTTCACAAAGATCTTTTATTTCCTATTCTTCAGGAGACTCTAATCTTGAATGTAAATGTAACCATTTTTCAGAGCATCTGTCCCCATTAGGTTTCCACATAGATTACTGTATTCAAATTGAAAAAATAACCTGAATATTTTTCTACACACGTTCATTGGAAATTTGGAATCGAATCCCAAATTGGAATGTTTTACTCATCCCCAAAATGATCCAGCTCACTTTTTAAAAAGTATAATTACTAGAAGTAGCATAAAGAAAAGGACAAAAAGAGAAAAGCGTGGCTTGAAAACATAAAAACAAAGTGAAAAATTAGAACAAAAATTAAGACAATAAAAGAAAAAGAATAAAGACAAAGCATGTGAGATAGATAATTTTATCCTCAATTCTTATGTGTTAATTTTAGTATAAGTTATTTGATTACAAAAGTAAGACAAAAATAAGCAACATAAAAATAAATGCAAATTCTTAAATTTTTCATGTATGTAAAAAATGCTAAATTCCAGGGGCTTCTGGGTGGCTCAGTCAGTTAAGCGTTGGACTTTGACTCAGGTCATGAGCTCGCGGTTTGCGGGTTCTGTGCTGACAGCTCAGAGCCTGGAGCCTGCTTCAGATTCTGTGTTTCCCTCTCTCTGTTTCTCCCCCGCTCACACTGCCTCTCCCTCTCTCTCGCTCTGTCTGTCTCTCTCAAAAATAAAGATTAAAAATTAAAAAATAATTAAATAATAAAATTAAAATGCTAAAACGTGACATTAGATAAAACTGTTAAGAAAATGATAAAATCCCACTGTCATGTTGTTGGTTTTCACGTGCATTACTTTATCCAAGCACACACTGGAAAACATGCAACTGTCTGAACACAGTCAAACCTTTACTTGCAACTAATTTCCTTTAGTTCTAAAATGTTCTCATTTGTGGAATTTTTCTTTTGCCGTTTCAGTTAAGCCACTTGATGTTCTGATAGTCACAACCAAAATATTATTACAGAAATTAATCATTTCTTCTACTCATCTTAATATGCTATAAATAACTTACTAATTCGCTATATTTTTAGATCTTTTTTTCCAAATAAACTGCGGCTGCCATGAACAGCAAGTTGTTTATTTTTTTAATCCTCAGAGCTGCACTTTAGAAACAAAAAACTGATGTCGGTGCCAATTCAAAACATAGTCATTTTTTAAACTATTGTCTTGTATCACTCTAAAATTTCTCCGAATTTCCTCATGTTTACTTTAATGAAAAAGTGTGGAATTTTCATCCTTTTATTTCCTTGCTTCCGTTAGTTTGTTTTTAATAACATAAGGACCGCATGGAGATTTTTTTTAAGTTTTTTTCAAAAATCCAAACTACACAGAAGTAAGTAGAACAAAAATTTGAAGTATCTCTTCATGTGCTTATCTCATCCCTTTGCCAGAAGTTATTGATGCTGCTAATTTATTCCAGACTTTCTCTATCCATGTACAAATGTACCACGTTGACTGATGTCTCACTGTTTCTCAAAGGCATGCTCTCTGGAATGGAAGATAATAAAAGAAAATTAATTAATATTAATTGAATAATTACTTTGTGCTACTAACAATTTAGTTTATCGTCCCAGAATGTTATTTTTACCTGAACTTTTTTAGAGAAATTATAAATTAAAACAAAAATTAGGTAGTATGGAATAGAACACGAAATATTCATTGCTTAAAAAGATGATGTAATGGTGCTTTAGGAAAATTTCTTCAGTATGGGACATTTGGGTATGTGACCTTACATGCCTCATCACCCTTGCCCACTTACCATGATTGTTCTCTACCTGTAGGGGCTATTCATTAACAAAAAACCTGTCCTTATACTAAGGGCAAGACTGTTTTTTGTATCTAATCTAAATAATAAGGTGTGTGGTAAGTAGATGTCACCATTCCCATAAAAAGATAGAGTTTCCTTTGGAAAGAATGTGCATCTACTGAGACAGAAAGTAATGTTAGTATTAGTATTAATCTAACAACCAACTTTACTGAGTAACTACTATGTGCCAGGAACTGTTCTGGGTGAAGGAAATAGAACACTAAACAGGCCAAGGAAAGCTACTATTCTAACTGAGCTTACATTCAAATGAGGAGAGGTAAGCAGTACAAATAAATAAGCGGAAGGTTCAGTAGGCTGATTTGACAGGATGTGAATTTTGAATTAGTAGGCCACGAAAGGCCTCTTAAGATGAGGTGACAGGAAGTGGCATGAGGGTGAGCCTTCTAGGCAGACAGGAGAGCTGTCACAAGTGTACTTAGATACAGTGAGCTTGGAACGCTCAGGTGACATGAGGTCCCAATGACTGAAGAGGCCAGATGCATAAGGATCTGTAAACAAAGGTGAGAAGTTGAGAGTTTAAATGCATTGGATGAGATACCACCTCACACCTGTCAGAATGGCTAAAATTAACAACACAAGAAACAACAGGTGTCGGAGAGGATGGGGAGAAAGGGAAACGCTCTTGTACTGTCGGTGGGAATGCAAACTGAGGCAACCACTGTGGGAAACACTATGGAGGTTCCTAAAAAAACTAAATTGCTATGATCCAGCAATTGCACATTTAGGTATTTACCCAAAGAATACAAAAATAAAGATTCAGTGGGGTACATGTGCCCCAATGTTTATAGCAGCATCATCTACAATAGCCAAACTACGGAAACAGTTCAGTGTCTATCGGGTGATGAATGGATAAAGAAGATGTTGTATATATCTATATCATTATCGATATCGATAGTGAAATATTACTCAGCCATCAAAAAAAATGAAATCTTGCCATTTGCAATGAGGTGGGTGGCGCTAGAATGTATTATGCTGAGTGAAATAAGTCAATCAGAAAGACAAATACCGTATGATTTTACTCACATGTAGAATTTAAGAAACAAAACAGATGAACATATGGGAAGGGGGCAGGGAGAAGAGAGGGAAACAAACCACAAGAGACTCTTAACCATAGAGAACAAACTGAAAGTTGCTGGAGGGAAGTGGGTGGCAGATGGGCTAGATGGGTGATAGGTATTAAGGAGGGCACTTGTGATGAGCACTTGGTGCCATATGCAAGTGACAAATCACTGAACTCTACTCCTGAAACCAAAAACAAACAAAACAAACAAAATATGTTGGGAAGCCACTGGAGGATTTTAAGCAGAGATATAGTATGATGTGCTTCCTGTTTTAGAAAATGACTCTCCTTTGTGGAAAAAGAATCACAGGAGGTCAAGATAAGTAACGAGGTGGGTTAGGAGCCAACTGTGGTAAAACAGGCAACGATAATGCTGGCTGGACTTGGGTACCCAGAATCCAGTCCTGTGGTTCTCCAATCTCAAGTTGAGGGTCAAACACAGAAGGACCAAAGAATGGAGATCTGGGGGTAAGAGAAGAAAAATAGGGAAGAGCGGAGGTTGAGCTGTGATTACAACAATTACTATAAATTGCTGTATTTGTAAGCATTTGCAGAGCAGAGCCAGGAAATGTTCTGAGTATTATCTTGCACATTCCTTATGGCAACGCATGAGGTAGGTACTATTATTACCACCTTCTACAGCTGAGCACACTGAAGCACGGGGTGGGTAAGTAAACTGTCCGACCTCCTTGCAGGATGGGATGGAGACAATTCACATCTGGGAGGTTGGCCACCAGCCCCACATTCTAACCCCCTCCCCGAACCATCTGCAAAAGGCAACGGAGGCAATGCTTGCTCTACTCTCCAGAAGGCATAGAGAGATCAGAAGGATAGGTGTTCCTGGGCCCGGTGTGTGTCAGAGCACCCCTGCCATGGCAACTTTGGAAATAATGGCTGTGCATACAGGTAAAGAGATTTGACTGACTGAAAACACACCCTGGTGGCAAAAGGATCTATGAGAACTGAGAGACACCAAGGAAGGGAGACTTCCTCTTGGACCTGGAGACCCGCGAAATTCTGTCAGGCACTACCTCTCAGGGACTCTTAGATCAAACACTTCTCTTCATACAGGGTCACCGGATTCAAATGGTGATGTGTCCTGGCCACTGCCGGTCAGTGGACGGACCAGGAGATGAAGACAGACCAGCTTTCTGCATTTTAACAGTGAAACTTTATGGTTGAGACTCACTGAGCATGACTCTGCTGACAAGATTTTCCAGTTCTCCTCTGCTTGGAGCAAATAGCTATAGCTGAACAATGTCACTTCACCAGTAAGTTTAAAACCCAGTTTTTAGCCAACTAGGTCTAGCTACTTTCTTCACAACAGCATACTACCTCTTCAAAGAATAAACATATGCCATGATTTGGAATAATTTACTATCCCTTACGTCACTTTTGAAATAGAAGTTCCCACAAATACACTGAGTGAAGGCAGAATTATCAGAATCAGAATTTTAAAAATTGGTTGCCTCTTGGGGCGCCTGGGTGGCGCAGTCGGTTAAGCGTCCGACTTCAGCCAGGTCACGATCTCGCGGTCCGTGAGTTCGAGCCCCGGCTCTGGGCTGATGGCTCGGAGCCTGGAGCCTGTTTCCGATTCTGTGTCTCCCTCTCTCTCTGCCCCTCCCCCGTTCATGCTCTGTCTTTCTCTGTCCCAAAAATAAATAAACGTTAAAAATTGGTTGCCTCTAGTTCAAAGGAGATGGGGGGGGGTGCGTGGGTGGCTCAGTCGGTTGAGCATCCGACTTCAGCTCAGGTCATGATCTCACGGTTCGTGGGTTCGAGCCCTGCATGGGGCTCTGTGCTGACAGCTCAGAGCCTGGAGCCTGCTTCCGACTCTGTGTCTCCCTCTCTCTCTGGCCCTCCCCTGCTCATGCTCTGTCTCTCTCTCTCTCAGAAATAAACATTAAAAAAATTCAAAGGAGATAGGAATTTATAGGGATTGGAATGTATAATGATCAATATTTGCCATAATACCTTAGCAGTGCCTTTTAATCATACTACAAATACCTAAGTCCAAAAGATCATCAGGAACGAATACTAGTGGAATGTACTACTGGAGTACTAGTCCCAGTGGAGTCATATTATTGACACTAATCTACTGTGTTGTGGGTTGAATTGTGTCCTCCCTAAAAGATAGGTTGAAAATCCAACTCCTGGTACCTGTGAGTGTGACCTTATTTGGAAATAGGTCCAAATCCTTGCAGATGTAATTAAGATACATATTCAGATGAGGTCACTCTGGAGTAGGATGGACCCTTATTCCAATCTGACTGGTGTCCATATTAGAAAAGAAGAGACACAGGGGTGCCTGGGTGGCTAAGTCAGAAACTCTTGATTTCGGCTCAGGTCATGATCTCACGGTAGTGAGCGTTAAGCTCCATGCTAGACGTGGAGCCTGCTTAAGACTCCCTCTCCTTCTTCTCTGCCCCTCCTGTGTTTGCCCTCTCTCTCTCTCTCTCTCTCTCTCTCTCTCTCTGTCTCTCTCTCTCAAAAAAAAAAAAAAAGAGAGAGAGAGAGAGACAGAAGAGAAAAAAGAGATCCAGAAAGAGTCGTGCAGGAGAAGAAACATCATGTGAAGACACAGATACACATAAGGAAGAAGGTTCCTTGTCATGATGGAGGCAGAGAGTAAAGTCATGCTGCTGCAAGCTAAGGCATGGCTGGGATGACCCACAACCACCAGAAGTGAGAAGAGAGACAACATATCCTGCTGACACCTTATTTCTGGACTTCTAGTCTCTTGTGAGAGAATAAATTTCTGTTACTCTAAGCTACTGGAGTTAGCGGTAATTTGCTACAGCATTCTTAGAAAAACTATAAACGCGTACTGCTAAAGGAATCCTAAGAGACTTTACCGTACTTCAAGCTACATGGTCATTCACATCAGGATGGAAATCACCGTTGCTTCCATTTTCACCAGCCTTTGAAGATAGACACGGTATCTGTTTACTCTTTCTTTTCATAATGTTAGAAATGAATTGCTTTCCTTGTTATTCCAACCCACACAAACCCCTAAGGAATACTACTTAATTCGTAGTTTGGTCAGGTAAGTATCATGGATCTTGCTCATGCTGGTCTGGCGGCATGGTTTCCTCCTAGATCCAGTGAGAAGTCATCCTTACTGTCTTCAAGAAATACATTATCTTCTGAGTCTTACAAAATGTCTGAATAAAACAAAGTCAAGAGGAAAAAATAAAAGCAATTTGGAACCTCATATTCCCATGTCTGCCCTGGAACACTTCCCCGTCTTCCTGCCTCGAACACTGCCATGGACAGTGGTACCCTCTCACCCAGAATCCTCTTTACGACAGTGTTCAGAGAACGAACAGCCGAGATGCCTTCAAAAGATGTATTGAGAAGAAGAGGCTGTTTTGTCCTGGAGAATGGGTGGGGGGACGTAGAGAGGGAGTTTCAGAAACCTACTCATTCAGAAGGGGTCTGAGGAAATTGTGAGGCTGGACGATTTACTCAACCGGTCTATACCTCCGTGTACTCTGCCCTATGAGGTAGCAATAAACAGTACCCACATCGTGGGTTGCTATAAGGAATGTGCAAGATAATACTCAGAACATATTTAGAATTCTCGTATTTGCTGGTGAA